TAAATTATACTTACATAGCTCATGAAAAAGGAAATTGATTTCTGTAAGATTTGTCAGCTGTTTTTGAGACAGAGCCGAGTTTGTAGCCCAGGTGAGCCTAGAACTCACAGCAGTAATACTGCCTCGGCCTCTCCAGCGCTGGGATTGCAGCCATGAGCTGTCACACCTAGCAAAGGCTCCCAACCTTCCCATCTTATAGCACAGGCATGCCCTTTTTCTACTTCCAGAGAAGGTGGCTAGCTTTGGGGACTCTAGGGCAGCCTGGGATAACGCCGGGTAATAGCAAACACAGCGAGAGCCCTTATTCAAAATCTAGCAGGGAGAAAACTAGCGCCCAAGTTTTATATCCTGAGATTTAAGATTATGGAGCCATAAAATCCCTGTAAGTCCCGGTTTCTAGTAATGTATAACATATGTTACTGCTTATAAATTAGGTTATAACTGCATTTGTCTGTGTGTGTGTGTGTGTGTGTGTGTGTGTGCGCGCGCGCACGTGTGTTTGTTTGTTTAATTACAGTGAAGACTCTGGGACACTCATGGGAACTCTGACGTGGTGTATATAGTTCAGGACTTCCTTTGGGCGTAGGTATTTAGTTTGCTTTGCTAGTCTCGGCCTGTGAAAAGGAGCTAGAGTTGTGCTTACCTGGGTGCACCTTAGAATATTTGAACGGCTACAAGAAGGAATGAGTCGGAGTCACATTATTGATCTCCTTCCTTCCATCAGCAGACCGGAAGGTGTTGCAGCCAGCTCCTCGAGTGTTCTCATGTATCCCTAGACTTCATTCAGATCTGGGCTGGGAAACATAACATCACAAGTTCTTGTGAATAGTGGTCTGTTCATTATGACCTCTTGAGTCTCTGGGGTGTAATACTTTTAGAGTGCAACGGAGTGCTAAGTGTTGCTTCCTGGTCCCCATTCCTTCTGCTCCTTTATCAGTGAAACTGATGTTGCTCACGGGCCCACAAACCACCTTCTAGAACTGCTACTCTCAGGTGCACTGTGTGGGGTCAGAAGGAGGTTGTGACTGGAGGTGCAGCCTCTTTGGAGCTGACTTCCGAGAGTTCATTTCTTCCACCACAGGACCAGTAAATGACTCTTCTGCCTGCTTTCATCCAGACTTGGACATGGTTACATGGCTAATTTCAGGTCCTGCAGGATGGATGTTAGAATTGGTCTCAAGGCGAGGGAAAAAATGTGGCATTTTGCATTCCTCCTCTGCCAGGCTCTGCAGGTAGAATTCACTCTGTCCAGATTCACAGTGTCACTTTTCTCTTTTGAGAGGTGATGATCTGAGGAGCCTCACGCTTAGGAGACACTGGCTTTGACCAGTCTGAGTGTTGTAAACTTGTGAAAATTTAAAAACAAAGTTCCACACTCTATATCACAACTGAACAAAGAATCTACAGTGCCATCTTCTGGTGATCTGGGGGAAATGCAAGAAACGTGGGTGCTGTCAAATGTGAGGGTAAAATACCCAACGCGTGATAATTTGAAGAGAGTGAATGAAAATAACAAAAGGAGCTATGTCTGTGTTTGGGGAGGAACCTATGATTTCATAGGTTTATAATGTCTAGGTGGCAGTGAGAAGGTGCCTTTTTCTGAAATGGCAAGTTTGGAAGCATTTTTATAGCACCAAACATTTACATTTGCCTGGAAGTATGAAAAGATGGCGTTGGGATGGAAAGGAACCTTTACATTTACCTTTTACATTACCTTTACCTTTACATTACCTTTACATTTCTCAAAGATAGGATTGAAATGGTTTATCTTCATTCTATCCAGAGAGGGCAAAGCATACATTCAAAAGATAACAGGGCCACAACAGGCCACCCGGTGTGATCCCTGGTGACTGCCAAGTAGCCATGGAGCAATAGACTTGTGGGGCCTATAGCTTCCTATAAAATTGGAATATAAATCAAATGATTAGTTAAAAGTCATTTAATCCATTAAGATGTATCACTCTCAGTCATCAGAGGACTTAACTATTTCTGCAGACCATTTTCTTGAGAAAACATTTCTTTAGATATAAAGAATTGTTACAAAGCTCTGACCACGTCGGTAGCTGGTTTTATCCAGCGCTGGGGGTATTTCATACACTTGGTTCTTAGCAATGGGTCCATACCTTCCTAGTGCTTTCAGTAAGTGTGAAAATGGACACTGTGCTGTCCCCTCCACTTTTAGTGGGCACTTAGAACTGGTGGGTGAAGGACAGTTGAAGCACGTGGGTGGGCATATGCTACAATGACTTTGAGTTAAAAATGCAACACAGGTGCCGGGCGGTGGTGGCGCACGCCTTTAATCCCAGCACTCGGGAGGCAGAGCCAGGCGGATCTCTGTGAGTTCGAGGCCAGCCTGGACTACCAAGTGAGTTCCAGGAAAGGCGCAAAGCTACACAGAGAAACCCTGTCTCGAAAAACCAAAAAAAAAAATAAAAAAAAATGCAACACAGGAAGATTTGTCTTATTCAAGAACAGCTCAAAGATGACTTCTCGTGAAAGATTCCCTGCCTTCCTCTCCAGCCAGCTAGCCCAGGGCTCACTCTTGACAGTGTTTGCTGGTCTCACAATTCACCTGTGGCCATGAGCATATAGTACCCTGCTCCTCCACCCCCTCCTGCTGTGACAGTCAACTTTTCATCATTGTGACAAAGACCAGAGAGCAGACAACTTAGAGAGGATCTGCCTGGGCTCCTGGTTTTGCTTGCTTTGGACCTGAGGCCAGGTAGGAGGATATCATGGTCTAGAGAGCAGGTGGTTATGCAGTGAGCAGTGTTCACAACTGTGTCTGGTAAGTGGAGAAAAATGCCTGGCCCGTCAAGACTTGCTCCTTCCCTTTTTATAGCCTGTCTAGGCTTCAGCCTATTTGATGGTGCCATCCGTATTCAGCTGGGTGAGCCTTTCTCCCTTGGTTAATTATCTATGGGGACTTTCGCAGATGGATCTAGAGCAGCTTTAGTGATCTCCCTGGACCCCCGCAGTCCAATCCAGGCCAACCACACCCCCTCCTGTCTTTGCGTGCCTCCTCCTTTGCATGTTTGAGACAGGATCTTATGTGTTCACCCTGGCCTTGAACTCTCTGTGCAGCAGACCCTCACCTCCCCAGTGCTAACATTACAAAAGAACACCGACTGTCTTCGGCGTTCTACAGTGATGGGGTCAAACCCAGGGCTTTGTGCACTAGACAGGCACTGTGCCAGCTGAGCTATGGCTCTGTCCTTGTACACATCCTTGTTCATATCCACCCCCCCTCCCTAACAATAGGCTCATTTCTTCATACCGTATGCCCCCGTCCCTTACATGTAATATTGCAAGATCTAGATCGGCTGAAAGTGTATAACACTTAAAATGGCCCCCACTTGAAAGCCTTTCAAGTAGACATGAGTTGAAGCTCTTTTATTTTTGCCGTGGGTAGGAGGACGAAAAATAGTAAATTCTGGATTTTTTTTTGGGTGGGGGGGAGTGTAGTTTGGTGATCAGGTCTGTTTCCTCACTGTGGGTGTGTGTGGGTGTGTTTGTGTGTGCGCACACATACCTACAGTGTGGTAGGAAGGAAGATGAGTCGTATTTCAGCTCTTGACCTCTGCAGTGGTTTCTCCTGCATCTGTTTTTAGTACCTTTCCTAGTTTATCATGGAGCTCTTCCAGGGCTTCATGCCAGTCAGAAGGAGTTCTCTCCTCTCAGATGTGGAACATCATGTCGCTTGCAGGGTCTGGGTACCCATCCGATGCCAGTCAGCATCAGTGCCTGTACATCTGCGTAGTGGCTCAATCCTCGGGGGCCCTGTGCCCTCTTCTGCACCTTAAGTTCTTGAGGTCCCTTTACCTGCAAGGTCTCTATCAGGTGTTTGGAGGTCCTTCACTTGCCCCCTGATGGTTTTCAGTGTTTTCTCTCAATACCTTACCTCACAACTGGCTTTTCTAAGCATCCAGGTAGTAGCTACAGCGTTTAGCCAGGCATCTTTTTATCTTCCTTTCTGGTAGTGAACTTAGCGAGATGATTTGGGTGTGAATTCTCTAAGTATCCAACTTCTGTTCTGATACAGGCTCTTTCTGTTTTCCCCCTTTGCCATGCCTGTGCCTGAGGACACCAACTTTGTCCTCTAGAGTTTGTACCCAGCAAATGAGGATTTGATCTCATCTCGACTCGCCTCTCCTTCCCTTGGATGTTAATATCCTTTGCTTTCCCTGCCTTCGTGCTTGAAGTTGGTGCTGACTGAGTGCTGTCTAGAGAACCAGCTCACTCGCTGGCTTTAGCCTGTGGGTCACATCCCATGTTCCTTGGGCTCATGAGGCTCAGCTGTCACTCGCTGACAGACGAGATGTGACGCAGACACATTAACTGTGATTAACTTGGATCCATCTTAAGAAAAATTTGCCATGACTTAAGCATGTGAAGCCCTCATACAAATAAGAGTGACAGATTTCTGGCTTGATTTTGAACCTCATAAGATCTGGAAAGACCAACTATCGACCTTGCCCAGTTGCTATCACCAACTGCAGGAGCTCCGTACTGGCTACCCCTCCACTTGGGCATCCGGTCTCCTTTTGACCTCCTTTGCCACCTCCGCAGCCTACCCTGGTCTTTTCTCCAGCCGCCCATGCAACTCACTTGCTGGCCCAAGCAGCCTTTGTGCTGTGGAGTTGATATGTTCCTTCTCAACTTTTTCTTTTCCACTTACCCTATAGACTTCGCGGTGGCAGGAGCTTAGCTAGTGATTACTTCACAGACGTGCAAGACCCTTCAGCAGCCTTTAGTGAAGCCCACTTTCTTTTTTAAATATAGATCCTGTCCTAGACTGGTTCATTAATCAGTATTGACAGATGGTACCCATTTTCCAAGAACTCAGCCGATAGGTACAAAAAGACCCACTCTAGAAATTCCCCAGGCTCCAATAAACACTGTTGGTCCAGGATCCAGCTGGTTAGAAAGATTGTCAGTGAAAATTCCATAAAACCAAGGCCCTCTGGCAATATGTATATATATTTTGTTTTCTTTTCTAGGTACCCTCTTCATAAATCAAACTCGGAAGACGGCTGTGTAGGTTAGTACCACTGCCTTTGATTTAAATATTTAATTGGATTATTTTCTTTTCATATAGACATGCAAAGCGATAGACCTCACACACACACAAATCTGTCCATTCAGAAACGAGCACTGTAAAGATTGTGTGTCTGTGTGTGTTTGTGTGTGTCTGTGTATGTGCACATATGCGTGTAGGTTGAGGTCCACATTGGGTATTCCTCAGTCACTCTCCACCTTAAGTTTTGAGCAGTCTCTCATTGAACTGGGAACTCCACCCGTCCCGCTAGACCAGCGGGCCAGCAAACTCTGGGGAAACCTGCCCGTCTGCCTCCCTGGCATTAGGGTTGTAGACACATACCACGGTGCCCTGCTTTTTATGGTGGGTGCTGGGATCCAGCTCAGCTGCACATGCTTTAAACCAAGCACTTCCCTGGCTGAACCGTCTCTAGCCCTGGTATTCGATGTGCGAGTTTCTTCTCTTTTTTGCCGTTAGGAATTGTTCTTTTGAAAATACAGGTGGCATCACAGTCTACATACTGTTTTACAGGCCTTCAAAATGGGACAGTTTATGAGTATTTCCATTTGCTAAATATTCTTAACAGTAAGAGGCTTACTTCCGCATCATATTGACTGCCATAAGCTCATTGACCACGCCTCTTTGCTGGATCTTTATGGCTGATAATTTTCTCTGTCATAAGCAGATGACACTATCAGAAAATTCCTTAAGTTTGTGTCGCTGATAATGCCCTCAGATAAACTCTTCAATTTTGGAATGTTTAGATAAATAACGTGCATTCAAGGCATTATGTATTTTATATATCCTTGATTACAATAAGATCTATTCTTGATATAGCAAAGGGTGGGTGGGTAATAGGCTCTCCAATCCGGCTTCCAGGATTTGAATCATGAATGCCACCCCAGCTATTGTAACCTTGGGAAGACACCTGTCTCTCCAGACCTTGTTTTATCTCACCTCCTGCATGGAATGAAAACAGACCCTATGAGTGGCAGTGGGCATGGTAGGATTAGCTCAGCACATGGTAGGAAGATAGAGAGTTCAAAGCCAGCCTGAGATACATGGTAAGACCCTGGTACTATTAAAAAAGCAGGAGGAGGAGCCTGAGCAAGCTAAATGAGCTAGGCTGTTAAATAGCAAAGTGCTTGGATAAGTGATGAAGAGATATTCGCTATCTTTATTATCTCCGTTACATACATGGAATGTGAGAAGGAAAGGCATGCAGCTTATAGGCAGAGAAATGCATTACGGTCTCAAACTCCGCCTTAAGAAGCCAAATGATTGATACTCAGTCTGCTTTCACCCTTTGTGACTGATGTCTGCTTTTACGGGTTCACTCACAGGTAGCAGACCCCATGAAACTAGCCTTGAGGACCTAGGAAATGGAAGGCAGAAGGGCTTGGGTTTCATCCCCAGGCCTCCAGGGCTGTCGGCATTTAAATGAGGACATCCTGTTTTGACAAATGACACCCTTGCTAGCTTGGGAGCACCAGAGATGGAGTTCCCACGTGGCTACTCCATGCATCATTGCTTGGCACCACCAGTCTAGACTGTGGAAGCCGCCGCTTTGCTGGGTCTTGTTTCCAGTGGCCACAGGGCAACCAGACAGCCACCAAATGGAGACAGGGCTGCTGCTCTGGGTGTGCCACATCAGCCCAGTGTCAGCCATTGCTGCTACTGCCTGGTCTTTTTAAAGAGTCAAGAACTGCCCTTCCCATTCACTGACTCTCCTGCCTTATGTTCGTCTTTTACAATTTTTGAATTGCATGTGCATGTGCGTGCGTGCGTGCGTGTGTGTGTGTGTGTGTGTGTGTGTGTGTGTGTGTGCGCGCGTGTGCACAGGATATAGACAGCCTTAACTTCCTCAGGAGTCATCCACCTTGTTGTTTGAGACAAGAGTCTCTTCATTGGCCCCAAACACACCTAATCACTAGGATGGCTGGCCCACAAGCCTCAAGGACCTGCCTGTCTCTTCCTGTTCGGTGCTGGGGTTATAAGTACGTGCTGCCATGCCTAGCTTCACTGTCGTGGGTTCTGGGAGGTTATACTTGACTTCTCACGCTTGTGAAACCATCTCTTCACTGACTGAGCTACAGCTCCCAGCCTGTTTACGTTTAAAAAGGTTATTTTGTGTTATCAGTTACTAGAACCCTAAGATTTTTTTTTTTTAATGTCTATTAATGGCAAATTTGGTTTCACTGGTGAATCATCCAATCCTAGTCTGAGATGGGTGGGAAGTTAAAAGGAGACTGAGATAGATATCACAGCAGGATCGACCTCTGTTTTTTTTGTTTTTGTTTTTTGTCTTTGTGACTTTGTTAATCTGTAGGTTGGCCCCCAAGAAGCCTAAACATTAGAGAGATGGCGCTCATGCCTCACCTGTGCTACAGACCCATGTCACCAAACACCACAGTGAACCAGGCTAGCCGGTCTGTGCTCACCAGGGCATAGCAGCCTTTGTGTTTTCTTCCTTACATTGGGAATAAGAGAAATAAGGCAAGGGCGGGTGAACAGCGGGAACAGAACAAAGCGAACCTCTGCAAGCCCTCTGTTTGTGGCAACGTGGAAATAATTGTGGCTGCAGCCGAAGGGAGAGAGTGCGCCACAGGGTGAGGCAGAATGAGGCGTACTGGCTGAACAGACATCCGAGGGAAGACCAGAGCACGTGTTCGGCCTCCTCTTTTGATGTGCCCCGTATTTCTTTTCTTAACCCCATTGGGCCTCCCCGCGCCCCCCGCACCCCCCCACCGTAGCAAATTTGCATTTCTTTTAAACTTTATAGCTATTTCACAGTCTTTCACAAACTGAAAAACTGTCTTTTTGTGGAATCAGAGTATTTGTTGGCATTGTGAGAAAGAGACTGCTTTTGTTATCAGTGAATTTATTGCGTGTGCTTCTCTCTCTCTCTCTCTCTCTCTCTCTCTCTCTCTCTCCTTCCCTCCTTTGTTTCTTTCTTAAAGGAAAAGGAGATTGGAAGAAGAAAAATAAGTACTTCTGGCAGAATTTTCGAAAGAACCAGAAAGGCATCATGAGACAGACTTCAAAAGGTACGGCGAAGCGGCCCCGGACAGTGGGTCCTTGTGGCTTCATAATACCCAGAAGTCCCAACCCCCTGATTTAAATGGCCTCTACAGTTTAGGAATAACTCATGGCGTGCGCCTGCAGAAGAGTCAACTTTTCCGACATTCCTTCCATGACTTCAAGATGTTGACCCCATGGGTTTCTTGAACTGGGAGAGAACAAAGTTGGAGGAGCTGGTGGTCCTCTGACAGCAGGGACCAAGTCCGCAGGCTCCCCCTCACACCAGCCTCCCTGCTGGTCTCTTAAGCTCGCCAAGCACCGAGCTCAAAAGGTCAAGGGAATCTTCGAGTCTGTTAGTTTTGGACCCTCTGGTGCATACCCTCACTCGGAGCCTTCCCAGTCTTCTCAACTTTTTGCTCTGTGGCAAGGGACAGTTATGGGGTTGTTGCCCCTGGAAACCCTGTCTGGATCTGACATCATGAGAATTTACCCGGCTGCTCTGGGAAGGGAGCTCTGCCCTTTCTCCAGGCCTTGCCTTTGTTTTTGTTTAGATAGCAAATAAATATGTCATTCCCTGGAGGCCGGGTTATGTAATTTACGTTTCCCCCAGTATTCACAGAGGAAACCAGGACACATCTACTTCCACATTCCTGCCTGCCTGAACGGGGTTATCAGTAAATGAATGTGTTTCACTGTCTACCACTGATACTCCCACCCAGACACAAGCAACTTGGTCCTGGGTGTTAGCTGCCTCAGCTGCACACCTGATTTTCCCGACAGCTCTCATGTGACGACTTTTCTTAGGTGTCCCGCTTTTAAGGGAGTAGTTCCTCAATCCTCCCAGCTTTCCCTTTCGGTAGAGATCGGGAACCATCTGCCTCACTTAGAAAGCTGCGAAGAGAGAAGGCAGGGCCTGGAGAGAGGGCTCAGTGGTTGAGAACACTTGCTGCTCTTCCAAAGGACCGGAGTTGGCCTCCCAGGAGCTCATGTCAGGCAGCTCACGTTGTACGCAACTTCAGCTCCAGGGATCTTTGCTGGCTTCCATGAGCACCCACATGTGGCATTCACTTATACAGAAACATACATATAGACCTGAATAAAAATAAGTCTTAGAGTCCGGAGAGGGGGAGAGGGGGAGAGGGAGAGAGGAAGAGGGAGAGAAAGTAGCTCGTAGTTCACCTGTTCACATGGCTTTGTGAAACACCCAACCAGCTCTGTGACATTCAACACGGATAGTAAAATCAATCAAACCAGCAGGCTTCTTTCCACATACAGCACACCCTTCAGTTTCTCTGTGAGTGTCAGCAGGGACTTCAGGGGTACCTCTGAACCGATGAGTTACAAAATAGAAATGAGATACAGAAGCATGGGGAGCACAAATCCCAAGCTAGGTTCCTCTGCTGTGGTGTCCCGTGAGCCTTCAGATAGCCTCCTTAGTCCTGTCCCTGCTCACCAAGGGGATATTAAGCCCTGGCTGAGGTCCTGATGATACTAAGCCACCATAGTATGTCAGAGGAAGATGGGCAGAGGAAAGAGAGCAGGGCCGACATGTTGGCTTCCTCCTGCTGTGTGTGTTAGCCTGCCGTCACTGAGTCCTTTCCCATATTGCTGACCAACGATACAACTGGCCAGTGGAGCTCAAATAAGAGGGAAGGCATGGTTTGCTTTGTGGGAAGAGACTTTAGAAGGAGTCGATGGGGGAAGTCATTTCCTGTGTAGTTCTGGTGGCCTTCAGCTCCTAAGTTAGATGGTGGCTGCCCCTCACACTCTGCAGACCCATGTGATTTCAGTACTTCCAGATATAAATAGCTGTCGTACCTGTCTTCCATGAGGTTGACATGCTTAGCGTGTCGCTTTATTTATGTGTCGATCCTGTGGGGATAACTCAGTAACTCAGAGGTATGCCAGATAACTCAGCAGGGAAAGACAGTTGAATCGGGCTCAGCAGGCTTGATTCTGTGGCTTGACCTCCTGTCACGTAGAGGGTGCTCTCACACAAATGTATGTTCTCCTCATCCATATTGCGCATGGTCAAATACAAGAAATGCCCAACCCAAAGAAACCTTGGAAGGCTTGTCTGATCCAGTTGGGTTGTTTAAATGCGATTCCTGGCTCACCTGTAGCAAGAAATGCCTTGTGGGCTTCGTACCATGTCTAGAAGATCTGTCTCAAGTTCTGGTCTTTTTGAAGGACTTGCTTCTGTGGTAACTCATACATGTTCTTAGAACGCACTTCCCGAAGAGATGAGCTTTGGGCTTCCAGAGAAGCAGCTTGATTTTGCATCCCTCTATTCCCTCCATAGCATGCAAGGTAGACAGTGCACCTGAGAAAAGTCCCTCCCTCACCCGAGAATGAGGGGCCTCCAGGCTCGAGGCCCGCTTCTTCTTCATCTCTCATTTGCGTGTATCTGTCTTTAATCCCCAGGGGAAGACGTGGGCTACGTGGCAAGTGAGATAACGATGAGCGACGAGGAGCGCATTCAGCTCATGATGATGGTCAAAGAGAAAATGATCACCATTGAAGAAGCGCTTGCTAGGGTAAGAGTGCGGGCGTTTGGTTTACACCTGTGAGCACCAGCTGCAAAAAATGCTTGGGGGCATCAGCGGTTATAGGAATCTTATAGCTACCCTGTGTGTGTGTGTGTGTGTGTGTGTGTGTGTGTGTGTGTGTGTGTGTGTGCATGCATGCCTCTGTATGTATCTATTGTCAGGCATCAAAACCTCATGCATGTTTTGGGACTGTTCTACCAACAACTATATCCTCAACCCCCAAAGGAATATTTTGGTGGTATTTTTGTGGTCATCAAGTATCTACTTTATCAAATTAATCAAATAAGATATTTATTTGCACTCTGTTTGCTTGATACAAGCTTTCCCCCCTGTATAATAAAGCAGCTGTATTGGTGACACATTACTTGGCAAAACTAGCTTAAGGAATGGTTTAATTTGGCTCACAATTCCAGGGTCCAGTCCATCATGCCAGCAGTGGGGAGGGGTGTGTGGTCATGGTGGTAGAAGCTTGAAGAGAATGGTCACATGTAGGTCTCAGCAGCCTCTCCCAAATGACTGACAGGGAGACTTAATATTAATTACAAATGCTTGGTTAATAGCTCAGGCTTGTTACTAGCTAACTCTCACATTTTAAATTAACCCATATTTCTTATCTACCCTCTGCCGCCTGTCGGTACCTTCTTTCAACATGTTCATCTTGCTTCTCTCCGCATCTCTTGAGACTCCTCAGACTCCACTCTCTTTCTTCCCAGCATTCTCTCTGCCCTGAAAATCCTGCCTAGCTATCACCTAATGAGCATTTTATTAACAGTGAGAGCAACACATTTTTACAGTGTACAAAAGGGTTATTCCACAGCAGTCACATTGCATCCATAGTCAGGACTGAGACAGCAATGAACATTTGTGCTGGTTAGCTCACTTTCTCCATTTTATTTTTTTCTGGGACCCAAGCCTGTGGGAATAGTGGCACCCACATTTAAGCTTGCTTTCTGTATATTATAGTGCCCAGGGTCTCCTGCCTATGAGGTGGTTCCACAGTTAAGATGAGCCTTCCCACATTATTCTCCTTAAAGTATTTTATTTTCATTTTTTTATTTATACATATGTGTCTCTGTGAGTATATGCCATGTGTATACGTGATAGCCAGAAAATGGAGTTGCATCTCCTGGAGCTAGAGTTACATGTGGTTATAAGCCACCTGATGTGCTGTGCTAGGAATCAAACTCAGGCCCTCTGAGAGACCAACAAGTGTTCTTAACTATTGAGTAACCCCTGTAGGTCTCCTTCCAACATCATTAATGTATTTAAGATAATCACCCACAGGCATGCCCAGGGGTCCATCTCCTGGATGATTCTATATCCTGTAAATTGACAGTTAACACTGATCATTGCAGATGAGAGAGAGGGAGGGAGGAAGAAAGGAAGGGAAGAAGGGAAGGAGGGAGGGAGGGAGGGACTGAGAAAGGAAAGAGCAAGCCACGAGAGGGAGAGGAGTGAGACTAACTTTGGAAGGAAACTTGGAGGCCTGGGCAGTTTTGCAGTAACCACTGACTTTTCTTCATCGGTGGACTTGGAAGATTGCCATAGTGACCTTGGCCTTCAACATCCTCAACATCCTGAAGTTCATGATAGTGGAGGAACAGAGTGCCTTGGCTTACTGCCGAAAAGCATGTGGGTGCTGGGGTAGGTGATGTAGCTGGTGATGGGTAACAACCTTGTCTGTGCCTCACTCAAATAACCTGTACCTTCCTTCTTAGTCCAGGCCCTTGAGTGTCAACATCTCCAAGCATTTTCTCCCTGGTTCTAACCCTGGTGTGTGCCTCAGCATTGGGGAAAAGTTTACCAGAATTCCTAGACAATGCACGTAAGAAGAGTCCACATATATGTAGTTTACTTGTGGTGAGTGGGTGGTTTCCTTGCCTCCTGGTGAGTGGTGAGGCTGCACTGTGTTCAAATAGCAGTGTTCATCGTCTGAATGCGGATGTCCAAGGCCATTCACAGCACCCATGTTTGGCATGAGATGAGGTTTACTTGTTTTCTTGGAGCAAGGAAAACATTTATAAGTGCCTTCGTATGGTCCAATATAGACAGTCAGAAAAGAAAGGAATACTCTTGAACTTGGAGAAGAAGTGAAAAAAAAAATGAGCTCCTAATTTTAGCAGCTAGCTGAAGTTAGAAGACAGCCTAAGGAGATGGTGGCCTAGCCACATGCAAGAGAATATGAGCCTGCAGCCTGGCTGCTGCTGGCTTGGTGGCCTTTGCCTAGTCTCACTTGGTGGCCTTTGCCCAGTCTCAGGTGCAGCTCTAGAGATCACTGAGGCATCAAGAATATTGTCCATTAAGCAGTCCAGAAATGCAGATGGCCCGGAGGAAAATGATGGCGACATTATCTACACTCTGCGCTATCTGCGTGCAAGACTGGGTACCCTCTGACAGATGATGATAAGCAGAGATGGATGCTCGATTGCTCTTCTCAGTATCCTCCAGTTTTAATACCTAAGTGGGATTTTTTTTTTCTCCAGAGACAAAACAAGAAAATTAGAGAATATAAAAAATTTTACAGAGGGGATTTGCTTCCTTTAGGCTGGGATCAGGGAAAGGACCTAATTTACTTGGGATCAGTGTATACAAGAATGGCAAAGGCAGACCTCCTAGAGAGACCATGATAAGAATAAAAAATATTAATAATAATAATACCCAAATACCTCATATTGCCACATGGTTTAACCTTGGTGGATGTGCCTTCCTCTGTCAATCAAAGACTCAGAGAGAGAACCTGGGGATTTGAATCCAAAGTCATAATTAAAAGGACAGCTCTGGAGAGAGGAGGTTGCCAACTTGCCATTTGGAGCTGGATGTTGTTAGGATGGGGAAAGTTTTGTCTGTGTTCAAGTTGGGATGTTTTGGTCCACCACAATTCCATCGTATGAATTTAACCCTGTCATATGTATTCTCACTAAAGATTACCCAACTGTGACTCACATCCCTAAAAACCCCTTTAAAAAGTGTGTATTTGTTTCTGTGTGAGTATGTGTGTGGACTTAACATGCCATGGGGCACTTGTGGTCGGAGAATGACCCCCAAGAATCAGTTCTCTTTCCATCATGTGGACAGAGTCAAGCTCAGGCTTGGAGGTAAGCACCCTTAGTGCTGGGCCATGCTAAGAACCCAGTTGTCTGAAGCAAATCAAGATAAGCAGGAAAAAACCACAAACAAGAAACTAATATGTGAAGACTCTTGTGAGCAACTAAAGCATTTGAAGGCAGTGACGTTTACAAGACTCCTCTCAGTTCAGGATACTGTCCTTTTGAATGTGGAATGTAAATATAGCTTAACAGATGATTTCTATATTAGCTAACTGGTTCTGTCCAAGAAAATGGCATGCCAAACATTTTCTAATTTTGTGGTAGATACATACTTTGAGTGTTAATGAAGGCAATCTTCTTAGCTAAAAAAGTTTAAAGTTTATGGGATTTAGGTAATTGGCAGTTTCTGAATAACAAGATTGGCAAATACTAACTTTAACTGTTGGCAGTTAAGTACTGGGTATTTGAATCTCGCCCTCGTTCATGGTCTAGAAAGCCCCATGACATACCGGGAAGCTATGGATCATTCATTTATCTGGGTGATTTGTGCATGTGTGAGTGGACTAATGGGATAAAATAGGAACTAGATAGACTCACACGTGAAGCCTTGGATAGGGAGTAGCCTGTTTATCTTATCATGAGGATATGATGGGTCTGTGTCATAGAAAACATACATTCTTAGTTTTAAGGAAGGAAACAAAGACAAAGGAAGGAAGTGAAATGCTGTCGAAAAGTCACCAAATTTCACTTAGCAAAGCTGGGTAGAGGCTCTTCCAGAACACCATGTGTGAGATGGTCCAGGGGTGTTTACATAAAGCATAGGGAAGCCGCACTCAGTACTCAGAAACTTTAACTTTCTGGATACTGCCTAATTTAAAGTGAGAGAGCCCATAACCATGACGTTGCAGTCCTATTTTCTTAAAAATATATTTCTTAAAACTGAAGCTGATACCCATGCCAGAGTTTAATTACTAGGTTGCGTATTTACGCATCTGACAACATATGTCTGCTCCTAAGCTACATCTGTGTGAGTCAAAAATAAAGCCCTCAGGAGATCAAAAGGCTTGTCAGCTTATAGTTGCCTTTTCGTTAAAGATAAAGGGTATTTAGTGACTCCTGGAGGTCAGGGTTAAGATGGAGTATAAAAATGGAGTAGATACCGGGACCAAACTGACAGTGTCCCAATAATCCCTTTCCACCTGACATTTCTTCCCAGCATGCAGCGAGACTGTAGCATTTCAGAAACCATGTATCCAGATGGAAGGGATCAGCCCATATATTAGTATACTATAAATATGAGGGCAGTGTGTGTGTGTCCCTGATAATGTGTCAAAGATTAAAATGATTAGTGCACTCAGAGCTGACTCCTCGGGCCATATGCTTTCATGTGAGCTATGCATTTCCCTGAAGCCACAGGGTGGAAGTCACAGTGCTGTATGTTGTAACTGTTGCATAGACGTGCACTGAGGGCTTTGCTGCATCCATTTGCTTATAGCAGGGAGCCTGTGAGATGGATTCAGCGTCTTCCCCATTGTCCAAGAGGAGGGGATGAAACAGAAGGGTTTAGTTACCCATCCCAAGCGACCAGTGGTATTTGGTGTCTATATCCAGGCCTTTACTCACCAATCAGTGCTGCCTACCTCTTCCCACGTACATAAGTAAGAGAGACATTCCTAGTTTGCAATAACACCAGGAAGGTTGTGTTTTGGGCGACGACTTTGCCGCATCCCACAGCACTGGTGGTCGAGGACCATTGTAAGCGCTTGACCTCGGATTATTTCTGTGTTTAACTTACCTGTTTCATGGAACATAGTTTGATCAACTCTTAAATCGGATCTGAAGCCTAAATTACAGTGAGGTTTGACTGCACTGACAGCTGAGGTGTCTGAAGTAGCTGATTGCAGATCCTTTGTGCCATATGCAAACCTCCCTGGCCGGCTTCGCACACAGCATTCTGAAAGAGCCTCTGTTTGGTTTTGCTGTATTTGCTCCCTTTTCTAGAATATTTCCTTTCCTTTCTGTGTTTGATTTGTTTTCCCTTCAAACACAAACACTGGGTTTCTAAGCCTACACTTTCAGCAGCTCTGAAAGTTTTATTGTCTTCGTTATTCCCTCCCCCTGTCCAGGGTCCCTGGTAAACCAATTCATTTTTGCTAGGTGACAAGATTGGCAGGTAGAATGCCCCAGCCTTGAACGAGAAAAGCAAGGCCTCCTGGTGCCTCTTCATCGCTATGCTGGGAAGACAGTCGCACCTCTCCACACCCAGCTTGTGTGATGCTGGGGATTGAACCCCAGGACCCATTCATGCTAGGCAAACGCTCTACTATTTGAGCTATATCCCCAGCCCTGTCCTAGCATTTTGAAAAGTTGGTTTCAGGCGCTCCCCCTCTGTCATTCAGATGTCTCTGGCCTCCTCCACTGTGCTCTGAGAGGAAGGCCATGCTTTTGGATTTATACACTGTAGAAAGTTCCTGGTTTCAAACTTGATTGTACCCAGGAAAGATGAGTTTTGGTGTTGGTGTGTGTGTGTGTGTGTGTGTGTGTGTGTGGTGTAAATCAACGTTCCTTTTGGAAGAGCATACAAAGAGTCTGTTGTGTCTGCTGGTCTGATTTAGAACCTGCAGGCAGGGTTTCATACCCTCTTGTGATTCTAGAAGACTTAGCTTTGGCTGGCCCTGGGTCACCTAGTCACCATCAACCTGGAGAAGTTCTCAGTGATTTCTGCTGTGTAGTGGGCAGGACATGGCCATTATTTCCACTTCAGTCTTTCATTTGTTCTTTCTGCAGCTGAAGGAATACGAGGCCCAGCACCGACAGTCAGCTGCCTTGGACCCTGCAGACTGGCCCGATGGCTCCTATCCAACTCTGGATGGCTCATCCACCTGCAACGTGAGTCCATGTCGCTGGGCATCTTGACTGCCCGCGCCGATCAGGGTCAGGCTGAGCTGGTTCAACCTTTATATTTCTTTCTGAGGTCTCTTTCTATAGACTTCTTTACCTGGTAGTGTCTCAGCTAAGTCAGAATCCTACTGTTCAGGTTGACTTTCTTGGATTTTGTTTTTAAATCATTTTAATATGCATAGCAAACAATGCTAGCCCATTAACCATCTTTTAGTGTTCAATTCGGCTTCAGTAAGTGTGTTCACATTGTGGACCATGATCCATTTCTAGAGGCTTCATATCTTCCCACACAGACATTTTGTCCATTAAGCAATCGATTCCACTCCCAGGCCCTGGCAACCACCGTTGTATTTTGTGTCTCTTAAAAGTGGAATTGTCCCATGCTTGTGTTGGTCCGTCCTGTGTCTGTTTGATCTCAGCACCACAGATACATGGTATTCTACCACGGCAAGTCATACTGTATTTAGTTTACCTGTTCATCTGTCGATAGACAATTGGGTTGTCTCCGTCCTTCAGCTATTGTGAACAACGTTGATGGATAAAAACATTAGTCTACCCCATCTGCTTTCAGTTCTACGGAGTTAAATATATGGTTAAAATTCTGAACAACTAATAGTTCTGTCTTTAACTTCCGACAACTCCAGTGTGTTTTCCACAGTCACTGAGCCACGTTTCACTACTGCCTGCCATGTACGGGGGTGCCAAATTTCCTTTCTCACCAACGCTTTTTTCTAATTTCTTTATAATGGCTGTGAAACGTGATTCATTCATGTTTCTGGTTTGCATTTCCCTAATAATTATCCGTGTTGAACATCTTTTCGTGTGCTTGGTGGCCAGCTGTGTGTCCTTGGGGGAAATGTTTATTCAAGCCTTTGCACTCATGACCTTCTGCTGTTGTTGTTTATTTGTTTGTTTTTGTTGTTTTTTTTAAACAACAACAATAACAAAAAACCCTCTGCTATTATTGGGTCTCGGGCATAAAAAAAATATATATATCCTAAGTATTAATGCCATATCAGATATATGGTTTTTAAGTGTTTTCTCCCATCCCATGGGTTGCTTTTATACTATGTTGATGGTATTTTGATACTGGCGTTAATTTTGAAATTTGGTTATAACCTTTTCTCTATTGCTCACAGTTTGGGTGTCATATCTGTGCAGTCATTGTAAAAGCAATGTGGAGGTGGCGATGATGATGCCCCCCTGTTTTTTCTGCTGGTGGTTTTATAGCTTTTAGTGCTTAAGTTTTTGATGACGCCGATGACGACGCCCCCCCCCCCCCCCCCCGTTTTTTCTGCTGGCGGTTTTATAGCTTTTGGTGCTTAAGTTTTAAACCCACATTCAATTAAAAACTCGTCTGCTTGTGGAAATCTAGTTTTCCAAGAACTCTATCATTTTACCATTAAGTGGTGTTGACATCCTTTTTGAAAATTAAGTAACCATCTCTGTGTGGGCTACCTCATGTATGATCTGTTCTTTTACTAGGATCTTGCTGTTTTAATTACTGTGGCTTTGCACTAAATTTTGAAGTTGTGAAATGGGATTCTTCCAATTTTATTTACCCCTTTGAGGCTATTTACTTTTATTTTTTAAATTATGTGTGAGTATATCAACATGTGCAGTGCCCATGGAGGCCGGATGAGGGCGCTAGATCCCTGGAGCTGGAGTTACAGGCAGTTGTGACTGTAACTGTGACCTGACGTGGTGCTGGGAATGGATTTTGGTTCATTTGCAAAAGCTGAAAGTGCTCTTAAGCCTCAAGTCATCTTTCTAGCCCCTTTATTTACTTTTTAAACATTGTTTTAATGATTTGCGATCCCTTGAGATTCCGAATGAATTTTAGGGTGGGTTTTTCTGTTTCTACAAAAGTTGCCATTGAGATTCTCGTGGAAATGCCACCAAATCTGTGGGTACACTTGTGTAGTGCTGTCAGCTGAAGGACACAGAGTTTTCTAATTCATGAACATGGAACATTGTCTGTTCATTTAGTTTCCTTCAGGAGTATTTTTCAGTTTTCAGTGTGTAAACCTTGCATTTTTGATTATGTCTGTTCCTGAGTTTTGAATATTTTTCATGCTTTTGTGAGTGGAATCGTTTTCCTAATTCCCTCAGCCGACTGTTCAGTACTTTGTGTCCGAGTGCAGCGTAACCTCATTGCCTCGGCCCTGTCCTCCAGCTTTGCTGTTTCCGTCTGTTTTCTCTGATGGTGTGTGCATGTCCACGCTGGTGTGTGATATGAGGGCTTTCCCCTCATAAGATTGCATCACCCTCAGAAAGGCAACTGAACATCTTCCTTTCCCACTGGAATGTCTTTTATTATTGAGATTGTCCTAATATGACCCAAATGGTTCATTTTAAACTAAGGGTTTCACTACGGTTACAGGAATTATAGTCTAGAATTTTGCTGCACAGGGCCATCTTCAAACAATATGGAGCAAGAATGGAGGGAGTTCCCTGGTGTCATATCTTATAGAATTGTTTTGTTTGGTAGGTCACCTGCTAACTTTAGGAGGCCGCTCTCCGCCCGCCCTTGACCTTAGGCTCCCATCTATGCCCGATATAGCCAGTCTTTCTGGAACTAACTTTGTCTTTTTAAGATCTTTTTAAAAAAATTATATGTTTTTATAAAAAGCCTGATGTTTCCTTATTTTGTATAAGATAAATTCCATATTTTGGGGCACACCCAAGGCCCTGTGTGATCTGGCTTGATCATTTTCTCTGATCTCATCTTTTACCCCCACGCCCAATAACCTTCATTCCAGCCACACTGGTCCCCATATTCATTACTGAACAAACCTTGGGCTTTTCATATTTCTGAGTTTAACCCACACATTTTTTTTTTCCTACCTAAAATGTGCCTTCCATTTTTTCCCCCTGCTGAAAATGCTTGCTTGCATTCTTCATGGTGAAGCCCAGTTCTTAACTTCCTCTATAAAACTTCCCGTAGCCTCCCACAACACATTTATTGCTTCCCATTTCACGCTTTTGTTGAGCCAGATTTAATACATCAACCCTAAGCAGTTATCCTAGAGTATGAGAAGTAATTGTACCTCTCTCAGCCTCCCTGCAAACAGCAGGCTCCTAGAGCAAGGCAGGCATGCTGTGTTCTTTCCTCTGCAGAGAGAGCCCAGCCCAGTGTCCAGCTCACCTGAGCAAAGCTTCATTTTACCTAGCGTTCATCCTCCTTGCTCCTATCTCTAAGGAGCATGCTTTGGGGGCTTGCTACAGGTTGAGTCTTGACTTTGCTTTGTGTCTAAGCAACAAATGATAGTTTATGAGAAGTAAATAACCCCTTTCACTGCCTTCTTCTTCCCAATTTCCAAAACAAACACTAGATTTCCATTGCCGCTGAAGGACTGTGAATTCGAAAGCCACGCCCCATTTGCTGATAGACCAGAATGGCACCATTTTATAATAATAAATGTGTCCCACACTAGCCAGCCTTGGGTCCTGAGACTATGAGGTCATCAAAGAACCATGTCCATGGTTTTGAATATGACTCTGGGTCTCTCATCCCAAATCCCAAAGACGAAGAAGTGTATATCATGAACCCAACGCGAATCATGGAGAATAAATACAGTAACTCAAGATGGGTGTGATTCAAACTCAAACTGAGAGAGAAGACAGACACTCAGCGGTCCATAGCGGGTTCTTTAGTATCAAGCCCACTGTGTTCTGTCCTGATCAGTACCATCTAATCAAGGGCAAGGTTGACTTTGTCCACTCAGAGAAACAGGATTGTTGTCAAACTTCACATACCTAGACTGCAAGCAACTAGTCTTGAGTCATCTAGGAAAGAAGTTAATGTACAGCCTGCCAAGAAAGCATTATTTCATTGACATTGTTGGCTTGTTGAATCCCTTTAAGAGGGTCCCTGAGAGCCATCACCTACCTGCAAACTCTCAGAATCGAATGAGTGTTGGAAGCACTGGGCATTTTATCCTCTTGGACATTTCATCTGGAGCTCTGCATGGACTTGGCTTGGAAGCAAGCATAAAGCTAGCTCTTCAGGAAAAAGAGAGGCCCCACCTCAACAGAGCTTACCCTTTAGTGCAGGTATTAAAATCACATTCATATTTGCACACACAAATCCAGGGTGCCAGAAACACAATTCTATTAGTAACTTCTTACCAAACTGTTTCTCTTTACATGGCTCCCAAAATAAATGCACTCTGTCGCAGTCCCAAGAAGGGCCATGAATTCCATACATTCCCTCCACATAGAGCACCATCTTCTAGAAACTGTAAAGAACAACTTCTCTTTGTGGGACGGGGGTATAGATGGTGATGGTGGGGCCTGTACTAAGGAAGTGAGTTTACTAAAGCTGTGTGCTTGGCCAGTTGACTTGCTACAGATCCTCACACCCTCTTAATCATGCCTCATGTGCAGAACTGTGACCAACAAGCGTTGTCCCTGAAGTTGGCTTCAACTTGGTTGCAGTCCTGACTTGTGTGATTTTGCCCCTTACCCAACTTAATCCTTCCCTGTGTTTTGAAGGAGACTGAAATCGACACCCCACACCCCCCAATATTCCATCATTATTCTGAAATTGCCTCCATCCCAGGCCGTTAATGTCAGAGAATTTCCATTGTGATGACCCCCTTCTCGCCCTGCCCCACCATCCCAAATTAGGCAATTTTCAGTTTTCTATCAATTCCTTTCTATACAGAGATGGAAATAGCTCACTGGTCATAGTCGGGAATGCCCAGACCTTGAAAGTCCCAGGGGATCATAAGGCCTTTGTCACCAGACCTCAATGCCTATATTGATGCCTGGCATGCCTCAGGATGTCATTTGCACTGATTTCATAGGCTCCCCTGCCCCCATAGCTGACATGAGATAATTGCGTGTTACCTCATAATAAATCCATATGCGCATTTCTAGTTTCTAAGAGTGTAAAGTTCTAAAGATAGTTACCAGGGGAAGTGAAAAATAGCTTTCTCCTCGCCAGAGGAGCATCTGTTCTGTGCTGGATTTCGTTAATAATG